CATCATATGCTCTGTTTACATCATCAACATACACATCCTTCCAGTTTTTTTGTCTTTCAGTTTATCCAGAGCATTTTTATGTATTTATCATTTTCTTATTTTTTTTAAACAGTTTTTCAAAAATTAGTTTCAAAATTGCCTTAATATTAAATTATAAATTCTAAAAACTGGTAAATGGTCACTTGTATCAGTCATCAAAATCCCACTCATCACCTCTCCATTTCTTACATTTGTAGAAATATCAGTAACTGAAGCACTACATTATATTCCTTCAATATCAACACAGAAATAAGTGTAATTCTTTATAGTAACATCAATTTTTTGATTGTTGTTGTTAGATGGAGACAACCACCAGGAACCGGATCACCAACTTAACCAGAAGGAGGTYATTCAGCAGCAGTACGTGACATTCAGACCTCAAGCACATGCCTACAACAGCCCCTACTTAACTAAAGGTACYCTGGGAAACTTGGAGCCTAAGGAACCTGAACCTGAAGGGGTCCCCGGTGGTCCTGGAGAAGGAGCCAAGCCATTTGTCCTCGGTTCAGAGTACAAAGACTCTGTCCAAGCTTCCATCAAAGAGTTTGGCTTCAACATGGTGGCCAGTGATATGATCTCGTTGGACAGAACCATCAGTGATTTACGCCATGAAGAGTGAGTACTGCTTTGTACACTCGTCACACCTTTGCCACACGTTCTTTGAATCTTCTTTTATCAGCAGAGGCATGAGGGTTCATTGCCTAATGATTCAACCTGATTATATCTGTTAACTGTTGGGGGCATGTAAAACCCCTCCATACAACGTTTGTGAATATGTAAAGGTCATTTCAGCTAACCATCCACATGGTAACAATGTTTTGGGAGCCCCTATATGTTTTTTTTAAACTGGCTTCTAGTGTGACAAAATTCACAAGCCCTAATGTTTGTGGGTATGTGGAGGTATGTGTGGAGGACGTCACCACCACAAAGACAATAAGATACTACCCAAAGCAGAAACCCTTGCTGAATGCAGAGGTCTGGGCTCTGCTTAAGACCAGAAACGATGCATTCAGATCAGGAGATGCACAATCACCGAAGGCAGCAAGGAAAAACCTGACTGCAAGAGTTAAACAGACAAAAGCTGCATATKCCACCAAGATACAGGGTCACTTCACCACCCAGGACCCACGCTACATGTGGCAGAACATTAAATGCATCACAGACTAAAACACCAGAGGTGCACAGTGCCCTGACGACCCCTCCCTACCTGATGCTCTGAACAAGTTCTACAGCTGTTTCGAGGATCSCAGCGCATCACTCTYGRCCCTGGACCAGAAGAAGAGCCCATCATCGTGAGCCCAGCAGAAATGAKGAATACTCTCCAGAGGATAAACCCTCAAAAACATCTCAGGAAGAGTTCTGAAGGACTGTGCAGAAGAGCTTTCTGGCAGGCAGCTGTCCCCACCTGTCTTAAGACCACCACCATTATCCCCRTCCCAAAAACCTCMACAGYCACAAGCCTAAATGACTATCGGCCGGTAGTTCTGACCCCAAKAGTCATGAAGTGCTTTGAAAGACTRATCATGGCTCGGATTAAAGATTCCATCAGCACCACTGTCGACCCACACCAATACGCATACAGGAAGAACCGGTCCACTGAGGACACCATCTCCTCTAAGGTTCTCACGACTCTCACCCACCTGGAGAACAGAGACTCTTATGTGCGCCTGCTCTTCATGGACTTCTCATCAGCCTTCAACACCATCATCCCACAAACACTGGTCCAAAAACTGCTCTCCCTTGGACTGAGCTCATCCCTCTGTCACTGGGTGCTGGATTTTCTGATGGACAGGCCGCAGTCTGTGAGAATCAGCTACATGTCCTCATCCTCCATCACTCTCAGCACAGGCTCCCCCCCAGGGCTGCGTGTTGAGCCCCCTCCTGTTCACATTGCTCACATATGACTTCTCAGCAGAACATCCAGGCTGTCAGATAGTGCAATGTGAGGATGGCACAGCTGTAGTTGGCTGCATCACCAACAATGATGAGTCTGGCTACAGGCAGGAGGTGGAACATCTGGAGCATTGGTGCAGGCATAACAACCTCTGCATCAATGTGAAGAAGATGAAGGAGATGATCGTGACGTCAGCCTAAAACCATAAACAAAAGGCCTATAGTGGAGATCATGTGTGGGATATAGTTAGCTATTCAGACACCAATAAATGAAATATGTCAATAACAGGACTTTACTTATATCTATGTAAGTGTTTTGTTGGGTTCTAATGGCATTCTTATTAGTCCAAATTAAGTTCAAATTAATTCTGCTAAAATTTAGCAGTAATTATGTAGTCCACTGAATTTCAGAATGATTGTTAATAATTGACTCTCTTGGTCTTTTTTTCAGGTGTAAGTACTGGAACTATGATGATCGGCTGCTGACGTCCAGTGTGATAATAGTTTTCCATAATGAGGGCTGGTCTACACTCATGAGGACTGTCCACAGTGTCATTAAAAGGACTCCCAGACGATACTTGGCTGAGATCGTCTTGATAGATGACTTCAGCAACAAAGGTGTGTTTAATTTCCTTTCATAAAAAGGTCTACACATAATCCCGAACAAGTGTACAGACTTAAAACAAAAACAAACAAAACATGGGTGACTCCTAGCTTAATCATAAAAAGTAAAAAGACTTTACTAAGAAGTATTTGCATTTCCTCTTTTATATTATTGCATTTCGCACACAGCCCTTGGGTAGATTTTCAGTTTGGCCCACTCAGGTAAAAGGTTGGGCACCCAAGTTTAGATAAAAGCTAAAATTACCGAAACCATATCTAAATGCCAAAATTACTAATGAATTACTGAAAGCATGCTAAAATATGTGTAGGGAAAGAAACTGTAACCAGGAAAGCAAGAGTATAAATGCTGAATCTGCATTTACATAATAACAAATTAAATCAATAAACCAAAACTCTTCTTCATTCTGTTCTAATGAAAAATGAGATACTCTATAAACAAAGTGTTTATGTGTGTTTGTCTGCAGCCCATCTGAAAGAGCGCTTGGAAGAGTACATCAAGCAATGGAACGGTTTGGTAAAACTCTTCAGGAATGATAAAAGAGAAGGACTGATACAAGCAAGGAGTATTGGAGCCAAGAAGGCCACTAAAGGACAGGTATTATCTCTTGTTAAGACCCTGTCATAACATTTTAGACAACTTGTGAAAATTGTGTCCAATGTTTGAAGATGTCTACATTGAAGATGGAATTTAAAAAATCACCTGGAATCCGCTTTTGGATGTATACATACTGCAATGCTGACGATTAGACCAAATTTTTAATCTATATTCAAATCCCAGCCTGGGGACCTTTCAGGGTGGAGTTTGCATGTTCTCTCTGGCTTCCTTCCACAGACCAAAAACATGACTGTTAGGTTAATTGATAACTCTAAATTGTCCCTAGGTGTGAGTGACAGAGTGAATGGTTGTCTGTCTCGTTTGCGACCTGTCCAGGGTGTACCCCGCCCCTCGCTCTGTGACTGCTGGATATGGGCACCAGTGAACCCTGTGACCCTGAAAAGAAGAAGCATGTATAAATAATGGATGGATGAGTTATTTAGTCAAACAATTTTCTTTCCTAAGTTGGCATAAGTTGTCTAAAATGTTAAAGTATGACAGGGCCTTTAATGAAATTTTATGGAAATCTCTTTATTTATCCACAAGGGGCAGTTTGAAAGCATGAAAAGTAGCTTAAAATCCACTCACATAAAGAGGAAACTCAATCACTGCACATTTCTAAAAGTCATGGTAAAAACATAAATAACACTCTACAAGCTTTAATATAGTAGCCAAGTGCAAATTTGTTTTCAACTTTGAATGGTAAAAAAAGAGAAGAAATAGGTAGTTTGACAAACTGAGAGCCTCCCCAGCTTTTGTAAGATGGTTGGAACAGGTTTGTTTCCACCAAAAATGATTATTTGCAACTGGGCTGACCTTTTTATAATGATTTCACAAACCAATCCCATGTGTTGTTCAATGTCTTACAACAAATAGTCTTCACTTTTACCCATTGAAGCAGCAATTTCCTACCATGAGTTCAGCGCCATTTGATTGTCTTTGTGATGTCTAATGGAGGGATCGTATTAATGCCGTACAGGCCATCCTCAAGTGCACCATCTGATTTGAAGTGAGTGTGGCACATGCATTTTACACCAAGTTGGAAAAATTGGTAGGTGCACAACCACACGTGGTGACACTTAGGCCTGTCAAAATAAACAATAAATCAATTAATCGTATGATAAATTAAATTCCATCCATTATTTTCCACTTTATCCGAAGTCGGGTTGCGGGAGCAGTAGCTTGAGCAGGGAAGCCCAGACCTCTCTTTCCCCAGCCACCTCTTCCAGCTCTTCTGGGAGGACTCTAAAGCTTTCATAGGCCAGTCAAGAGACATAGTCTCTCCAGCATGTCCTGGGTCTTCTTCGGGGTCTCCTCCCAGTTTGACATGTCTGAAGCACCTGTCTAGGGAGGCATCCAGGAGGCATCCTCACTAGMTGCCCAAACCACCTCAACTGGCTCCTCTCGATGTGGAGGAGCAACAGCTCTACTCTGAGTCTCTCCTGGATAACTGAACTTCTTACCCTATCGCTAAGGGAGAGTTCAGCTACCCTGCGGTGAAAACTCTTTTCGACCAATTGTATCCATAATCTTATTCTTTCGGTCACAACCTAGAGCTCATGACCATAGATGAGGATTGGAACGTAGACCGGCTGGTAAATCAAGAGCTTCGGTACAGAGTTAGCAAAACTGCAGAAGCTGCACCGATCTGTTTGTCAATCTCACGTTTCATTCTTCCTTCACTCGTGAACAAGACCCCAAGATACTTGAACTCCTCCACTTGAGGCAGAACTTCACACCCACCCTTTTCCGACTGAGGACCATGAACTCAGATTTGGAGATGCTGATCCTCATCCAAGCTGCTTCACACTCAGCTGTGAACCGCTCCAGTGAGAGCTGAAGATCCTGGCACAATAATGCCAACAGAACCACATCATCTGCAAACAGCAGAGATGAAATCCTGAGGCCACCGAACYGGACTCCTTCCGCCGCCTGGCTGCACCGAGAAATTCTGTCCATGTAAGTTATGAACAGAATCGGTGACAATGGGCAGCCCTGGTAGAGTTCAGCTCCCACTCTGAAGGGGTCTGACTTACTGCGGGCAATGCGAACCAAACTCTTGCCCCTCTTGTATAGTGACTGAATGGCCCGTAACAACGGACCCACAATCCCATACCCGCATAGCACCCCCCCACAATGTACCTCGAGGAACATGGTTGAATGCCTTCTCCAAGTCTACAAAACACATGTAGACTGGRTTAGCAAACTTCCATGACCCCTCGAGGACCCTAGTGAGGGTAAAGAGTTGGGGAATTGAGGAGGATAAAAAAGACAATAATTTTAATTTGCCTGCTTTTTTGTTTTCTTTGTTTCTCACTCTTTTTTACTTTTTACGGTACGTTCACACCAAACAGGTTTTGAGCATCAGGTTTACATGCAAAGTCTATGGTGGATGTGCATCAAGCAGCATCAGGAAGTGCTGCGGCGCGTCTAGTGCGATTTGAGTTGTGCAATTTGAATGATAATTGTGCGCAATGAAAGTGAGACCTGGAGGGGCGTGGTTAGGAGGAATGGCCCCCCGATCTGAACCTGAGCGGTGTTTTGTTATTGGACTTCTTTGTTTGTCATGAATTGTCCATTACGAACACCATGTTCAAACATAAGGGTGTCCATATGTGCTCTTGGCACCAGGACACCCTAGGCCGCAGTTTGATGATCGACTTTGTTGTCATTTCATCTGTTCTGTGGCTGCATGTCTTTGACACTCGGGTGAAGAGAGGGGCGGAGCTGTCAACTGACCACTACCTGGTGGTGAGTTGGCTCTGATGGTGGGGGAGGATGCCGGTCAGACCTGGCAGACGCAAATGTATAGTCAGGGTCTGCTGGGAGCGTCTGGCAGAGTCTCCCGTCAGACTGAGTTTTAACTCACACGCCACCTCCAGGAGAACTTTGAACACGTTCTAGGGTAGGTTGGGGACATTGACTCTGAGTGGGCCATGTTCCGTGCTTCTATTGTTGAGGGGGCTTACCTGAGCTGTGGCTGTAATGTTGTCTGTGTCTGTCATGGCAGCAACCCTCGAACCCCCGCTGGTGGACACCGGCAGTGAGGGATGATGTCAGGTTGAAGAAGGAGTCCTATCAGGTCTTTTTGGCTTGTGGGACTCTGGTAGCAGCTGATAGGTATCGGCAGTCCATGCGGATTGTGGCTCGGGTGGTCGCTGAGGCAAAAACCTGGGCATGGGAGGAGTTTAGAGAGGCTGGGCGGGAAAGTGGTTCGCCACCAACACTGTTTATGGTGAGGATGATGCACTGCTGACCTCAACTCGGGACGTTGTGGGTCAGTGGGCGGAACACTTTGAAGACCTCCTCAATCCTACCGACACGTCTTCCCACAAGGAAACAGAACCTGGGGACTCTGGGTCGGACTCTCTAATCTTCGGTGTTGAGGTCACCAAGGTAGTTAAAAAGCTCCTCTGTGGCAAGGCACCGGGGGTGGATGAGATTCACCCGGAGTTAGGGTTGCACTGGTTGATGCGACTCTATAATATTGCGTGAACAGCGGGGGCAGTTCCCCTGGATTGGCAGACCCGGGTGGGGGGTTGGGGGGAGGGGTGTCACACTTCTAAGCCACCCTGGTAAGGTCTATTCAGGGGTCCTGGAGAGGAGGGTCTATTGGATAGTCAAATCTTGGATTCAGGAAGAGCAGTGTGGTTTTTGTCCTGGTTGTGGAACAACGGACTAGCGCGCATCATAAAAAGGAAGGTGCGCCAAAGAAGGCCCAAGGCGATTGAACAGTTAGAGGCCTGTATTAGACATGAATGGGAGCGCATTCCTTTTTTAAACTTGAGAAACTGGTCTCCTCTGTCCCCAGATGTCTGTTGAGTGTTGTAAGAAGAAGGGGGGATGCCACACAGTGGTAAAAAATGGCCTTGTCCCAACTTTTTTGGGATWTGTTGACGCCATGAAATTTTGAAATAACATATTGTTCCCTTAAAATGAAACATTCTCTCAGTTTAAACTTTTGATCTGTGATTTGTGTTCTATTCTGAATAAAATATTAGATCTTGGCACCTCCACATCATTGTGTTCAGTTTTTATTCACAATTTGTTTAGTGTSCCAAMTTTTTTGGAATCCGCTTTGTACATAAGTTTACATTAAAATTTATGTAAACAGGGGTTGTTATATCATTATATTAGTTTAAACTGGTCTCCAACAATATTATCGTTTATCGCAAAAATTTTTGAGGCAATTTATCGTCCAGTAAATATTGTTATTGTGACAGGTTGATGCGACACCACATGGCGTCAGCCTCCTGGACAGAAACTGGAAGTTGGTTCCACAAGAGAGGAGCTTGATAACTGAAAGCTCTGCCTCCCATTCTACTTTTAGAAACTCGAGGAACCACAAGTAAACCTGCAGTCTGAGAATGAAGTGCTCTGTTAGGAAAGTATGGAGCAATAAGATCTGTGATATAAGATGGAGCTTGGTTGTTGAGAGCTTTGTATGTTAKAAGTAAGATTTTAAATTCTATTAACGGGGAGCCAGTGGAGAGAAGCTAAAACTGGAGAAATACTGTATGATCTCTCCTTCCAACTCTCATTAGAACTCTAGCAGCAGCATTTTGGATCAACTGAAGACTTCTTAAAGAGTGTTTTGGACATCCAGATAACAAAGAATTGCAGTAGTCCAGCTTTTTAGCTTTTTACCCTGATACCAAGCACACTCGCACAGCCTATTCCTGGTACAGAAATCCAACAACAGACATTTCTAATGGGGTGGTTGAGTCACCCCAAACAGAATATCACTCAACTTGAAAATGTAGTTGTTAGTTGACTAGTTACTTAAGTATGAATAGTGTTTTTCCTTCAATGTCCTAAAGAGAGACCTCTACATGTGTGTATTCTCATATTGTAGGTTCTGATCTACCTGGATGCTCATTGTGAGGTTGGAATCAACTGGTACGCTCCATTGGTTGCACCCATTTCAAAAGATAGGTAAGATGTGCTCACATATAAATCTGATTGAAAAAGTTATTCCACTATCTTTGTATCAAAATTCATTAACCTTTTTAGCACATCTTATTTCATTTTGAGAGACAGAGTATGAATGTTTGTTTATGTTTATTTTAGAATAATTTTTTCTAGGGATGCACCGATATGAAAATTTCAGCCGATATCGATATCCAATATAATTATTGCTGTTATAGCCGATAACTGATATTTACCAATATTACACAAACACACAAATTATATTATACATATATGCACAAACACACTTGTGTCTTTTTATGATACCATAAATAAAGGACCAGACCACTGACATGGCTCTACTTCAGTTATTCCTGGCCGCAGAGCGTCACCATAACTATCATGATCATACAGATGCCAATCAACCAACCATCTCCCCTCCCAAAACAGAAACACAAAGCTAAGAAGTGGGAAATCAGTATCGGATATTAGTAACGGGTCAGTTTTACTTATCGGACAGATACCGATATTCTAAAAAAGGACCATTATTGGCCGATAAAATGCTGATATACTGTGAATCCCTAATTTTTTTCTGATTTGGATGGGGTTGAACCCATAAGGTTGTAAATCTTAATATCTGTCCAACAGATACATATATAAACAATCTTAGATTTTCTGTCTGGTGTTGATTTGCTCAGAGTCAGGTGTATGTTGGGTATCTAATCTGACTCTAATCACCACTAAAAAATAATCTCTTCACAGTCTAAAATGACAAATTACACAATACAGTTAATTTATTTAAAGGGATCCCCGATTAGTTGTAGCATTAGACTTTATTTAATAAACATTTATTTTAACTGTAAAATAAAGACTGTAAAAATACTGTAGGCTGTTTAGTTTTTACTATWTTTAAAATAAAAGTTTAAAAATATATTACATGGATGGGGCCATTTCATTTACACACAAAGCATTCTGGGTAAATGATGACGTGGATAGGTCCTCGGTGCGAGGCTGCTAGCGAGCTATATCCACCCTGAAGGTTAATCTTGGACAATATCTGATGATCGACTCTTTTAAATGAAACCAGAGAGCGTTGACCGAGAGGAGAAGGTAGAAATGACTCAGCCTGGAACTGAAAATATGGATGGAGGACCTCAGTTTAGCTTGTTTGTCGTGCTAGCACTGAGCTAATACATATAAGGCAATGGCTGTGTCCAAAACGACAGGCCGGGTCCTCCGGAGGACCCAGACTCCCCGGTCTCGGCGGGTCGGGTCCTTGGTAGACCGGGAAGACCGGAAAAAAAGAGGCTGTGAATATGGACGGTCTCGCCTCCCCTCCTTACCCCGGCGTACGTCATGTCACCTAGCAACTGTGACGACGCTAAACAAGCAAACTTAAATCAAAACTAGAAAAWTATCAATACATTAGCATTATTAATATCACAAAACTATAAAATTAACTTAAAAGTATCATTTGAAGAACTAATTGACCCGCCGTAGGTTCATGTTTATTTCGTGTTTTTTATGACGAAAAAATAATATTTAAAAACATGTCCATACAAATGATAAAAGTATTAGAATTACAACCGCTAATTTTTTTAAATTTTTAAAACACCATATTTTTATTTAAAATGAATTCTTTTCTCTCGCTTTGTCCGCCATTACTAGCTTAAAAAAATCTCCGGTCGGGCCGCAATGCATTATGGGATATGGTGGGCCGGGAACGATCCATCGGACCTGTCCTTCGATTCGTGGAAAAAGAAGGACGTATTTGTCGGACGCATCGGAGGAGTCTTCCGTTTTGGACGTCCTTCGTCGCTGTGACGTATGCGGCCGACAAATTCGACCTTCGGAGGACCCGTCCTGCCGTTTTGGACACAGCCAATATAGCGTTGGCGCTAGCGCAAAGGCTAACAGGCTAAGCTGAGGTTCTTCTTCCATGAAGCAGCTCTGTTGTCCTCCATCCATATTTTCAGTTCCAGGCTGAGTCATTTCTACCTTCTCCTCTCTGTCAACGCTCTCTGGTTTCATTTAAAAGAGTCGATCATCAGATATTGTCCAAGATTAACCTTCAGGGTGGATATAGCTCGCTAGCAGCCTCGCACCGAGGACCTATCTACGTCATCATTTACCCAGAATGCTTTGTGTGCAAATAAAATGGCCCCGTCCGTGTAATATATTTTTAAACTTTTAGTTTAAAAATTATAAATACTGAATGGCCTACAGTATTGGTTATTTTACAGTTAAAATATATGTTTATCAAATAAATTCTACTGTTACAACTATTCATGGATCCCTTTAAACCGCCATTTTCTCACTTGGTGTGTGTTCACTGTTGTACTTGCCTTCAAGGTTTTATCCCAACAATAAAGGCAAAAGTTGGCTAGAATTTGTCGCTGACCTGACAGTAATGGTCCATGAAGGCATCTTTTTCACCTCTTCCTCTGTGAAGTAATTCTAAATCTTTTTGGCCGCAAAGGGCCCATATCCACAGAACCTTGGATTGCCTGGTCCAACACTCCACAAAGATAATTAAGTAGGTACGAAGACACCAGTGCAAGTACATCCATAGTTGTGGTTTGTTGGAGTGACGATGGGTGAAACTAAGGAAGTTAGCCTATTGCCCAATCCTAATACAATCACTCTGTAATTATTGATGTTAATGTCTACATAAATGTAGCTCTGTTGAACTTAATTTTAATATGTTCTAACATCAAGTTCATGCAGAGAGGTTTGTGTGTATAAGTTTGTAAAGCAACATTACCAAGGTTTGTGTGTGTGTTTGTGTCTGTATGTAGGACAGTTTGCACAGTACCACTGATAGATTATATAGATGGTAATGAGTACAGTATGGAGCCGCAGCAGGGTGGTGATGAAGATGGTCTGGCTAGAGGAGCGTGGGACTGGAGCCTGCTCTGGAAGAGAGTACCACTTAGCCAAAGAGAGAAGGCCCAAAGAAAATATATCACCCAGCCTTACCGGTATATATTTGTTCAAACTCATCCCTGATTTTTTTTTTCTGTCTCCATCTCCCATCTCTTCATCCCACCTGTTCTATCCTACACTGTCTTGTTGTGCACTCTCATGTCTCTGTGATGTTTGCTGTCTGTAATCTTCCCACACCTACACCATCCCTACAACTCTTTCCCCATGTATCGTGTATGCTCGTCCTGCATCCGTTCTGTCAGAACCGTCTGTACGGTGCCTTTGATCGACTCCATCCATGGCCAGAGGTTCAACATCGAGCCCCAAGGTGGAGGAGACGAAAACGATTTTGCTAGAGGAGCCTGGGATTGGAGCATGCTCTGGAAGAGAATTCCTCTGGGGGACAGGGAAAAAAAACTCAGAAAAACTAAAACTGAGCCATATAGGTACAGAAAACCAATGTCTCCTGACCAACGCAGACATTGTCCACACAGATAACAAACAGACATCTTTTCAATGATGTGTTGACATCAGTGCTGTTTCCAGTTTCTGTTAATATTTTAGAAGTGCATCTAATGTACTGTCATCATAACTAACCAACTAAACACATTATTTTAGCTATTGCCTATTTTCTTGTGTGCCAGTCCAATGTTAGAAATTTTGGACATTCATTGTATTGGCCTCATTCATTTTACACTAATGTGACTCACATTTAGACTGTAAATCCTTCTTTTGTATGGAGAGCCGTTTTATTCAAAATACAATAAATAAATAAATAAATAAATAAAGTATTAATAAATATTCCATCAAATACGTAAATGTCCCCATAGGAAAAAAAATAATATATTATAGGCCTAATACATTTTTAGCATGTCTTTTATTTATTTATTTATTGATTTATTGTAATTTTATTTTATGACACTTTTATTTTGTAAAGCTACTTTACATATTTCAGGGACTTTTATTTTGAACTCCCTTTTTATTTCATGCCATTTTACTATTTCATGGCGTTTAATTTCATGGTCCAATATGCAAATGAGGGGGCGGAGTTCTCGCTGTGGTTTGGGATTCAGGAAATGATCTGTTTCACCACCAGAGGGAGATATTCCCCTGCCTGTCCTTTCTTCATAATTAAACATTCATTTTTATAAATAAAACACAGACATAAGTCCATAAATGAGTTGAATGACGTCACTCTGTGATTATAAAGGCTTTGCAGAGATGGTGGCTTTTGGCCAAATAGCCCCGATCACTCAGATTTAAAAATAATGATTTTTTTTCCGGGTAGATCAGAGCTTTTTTGGCTAAGCCGAATTGTTAACCATCTTTCCAAATGTATGKYGTTCAAGTTTCGTGCARCTAGCCCMTTCCTGTCTCAAATTAAGGCTAAAATGGTCTGTTTTCAAGTAGAGTTCTGTCGCTGCAGAGAACTCTAGTAAAACAGCCTGAAATAGTAAAACGGCATGAAATAAAAAGGGAGTTCAAAATAAAAGTCCCTGAAATATGTTAAGTAGCTTTACAAAATAAAATTGTCACAAAATAAAACAATATGTAATAAATAAATAAATAAAAAGACATGCTAAAAATGTATTAGGCCTATAATATATTATTTTTTTTGTTTTTTTGTTTTTTTCATTGGGGACATTTATGTATTTGATGGAATATTTATTAATACTTAACTAAATACATTGTTTATTTATTTAATTATATATTTATTTATTGTATTTTGAATAAAACGGCTCTCCATACTTTTGACCTTTTTATATGATCAGCCAATTTTACACACAGAAACTTGAAGGACAGTGTCAACATGACAATATTATGTTTAACAGACAGGCTTATTGGTTTTTGATCTGTTTTTGGGTCTTTATCTCTGGTCTACAGGTTGTTGTTGGTTTTTCAGGTGCAAGTCCAGTTTTGGACTGTAACATCACTTCCTCCATCTTCTCCCACTTTTATTATCATATGTTGTAATTGAACTGTTTGTGTTTGCATCACTTGAAGCATTTTCCTGTTGCATGTTGGCATGATGTTCCTCTGATTCTCTCATGGTTGTTGGGATGATTTCTCACAGACACATAAAGTTTTGGTGACAGTGGCTGCAGAATGCATTAAGTTCTCCTTCACGTTTTACAGTTTTGTGCAGACTGGTGCTACATGCTAGTATAGATTTAGGTTCAGTAGACATGATGCTACAATTCAGTTCAGTTTATAAACTGATGATACACAAGGCCTCATATATACATAGGTTCGGCTGAAGTGTGTCTCCAGGTTCCAACCACACATGAACCAACCTCAATCCTGCAGTTTTTTGATGGTTCCGAGTTGAAGCAGCACGCTTACGCGTTTGACGTCAGCCGGWTGGAAAAAAAAATTCTTCCAGCTGATCTGCGCAGACAGAGGATGCATCGCTTCAGTTCTCCAATAAACAGTTTTAAATGACTAATATATTGCATGCTTTCTTACCGAAGCCCTACCATAAACTTAAGAAAAATGACCAAGAAGCAGCAGAACTTGCAGTCCACAACAACTTTTTATTTTAACACCATGAGTCAAACGTCTCTTTTTATAAAGCACTTCCTCAAACCGCGACGAAATGTGGTATGGGTTGAAAGCAATTTGTTCTGCCACTAGATGGCAGTATTGTGCAAGAATGGCTCGTGTTATTACTGGAAGTATATAATCTGGTGAACTGAGCACATTTTGCGGATCTATTTAGCTTCCGCTAAAATGTTCATGACGTGTGCTTTAGAACTTGCGGAACTAAATAAAATAACTAGCACTTTAGATTTTGTGGAACTAAAGAAAATAACTAGCACTTTAGAATTTGCGGAACTAAAGAAAATAACTAGCACTTTAGACTTTGCGGAACTAAAGAAAATAACTAGCACTTTAGAATTTGCGGAACTAACTTTTGAGTTAGCGCTGCCCACCACTGCTCAGCCTCAATGGAGGTTGCATTTAAAATGTGCACGACCACGCAAAAAATGGTATTGGTTCAGGGTATCGGGGCAATTTGAACAAGTACAAGTACTTGTAAAGATGTTGATATTGGGTCTTATACAGTACCATCATATCTTTCATTTGTCCAGTATTGGTATTGATATATCCCTAAAATAAAGATTTACATTCTACCAAACATCTAAGTTCCTCTGAATTTACAGTACCGTAATTACTGTATGAAAATAAATTTGTGCGTGAAGTTGTAACATTTTTTCAAGCTCAGAATGGAAGGCTGCCAGGTGCGCAACAGCAGCTTCACGCACACACAGTCACTTCTTTTTTGTGCGTGACAAACACATTTTTACATTCCACTACTTATTACTTTCCTAAATACTAAAGACTTTGTTCCTTGCTAAACTGACTTCTTAAACATGAAATAAAACTGCAGATTACATAGATTATAATTGATTTAGATGTACCTGTAGCATCAGCTGCAATATAATCAAGCTGCAGAAAATGAAGGAGGTCTAAGTGCTTTCTGAAGCTGCTGTGTATTGTACTCCAGCTGTTCAATCATGAGCTTACACCTCTGCTTGTGGATGTGTGTTTATATACACCTGTAGGTCTCCAGCGATGGCAGGTGGTCTGTTTGCAATAGAGAGAGATTTCTTCTTTGAGCTTGGTCTTTATGACCCTGGACTACAGATATGGGGAGGAGAAAATTTTGAAATATCATACAAGGTAGATATTGATCAGTCTGTATTCAAATAGTTGCCAACTGCAAGATTAAGTTGATGCCTCTTTATTTTTATTTTTGAATGTGTGTATAGATCTGGCAGTGTGGTGGCCAGCTGCTCTTTGTTCCATGTTCTCGTGTTGGCCACATCTACAGACTTCAGGGATGGCAAGGAAACCCTCCACCTGCACATGTGGGATCCTCGCCCACTTTGAAGGTAAGACTGCACAACCTTGAAACTCCAAAAACACATTTATAGAAATAACAGTAAATTGTTAGTCTTTAAACGATATATATCTATCTCTCTCTATACATATACACACAGTGTGATGGCTTGGGCATGCATGGCTGCCCATGCCACTGGGTCACTAGTGTTTATTGATGATGTGACACAGGACAGAAGCAGCCCAATGAATTCTGAGGTATTCAGAGCCAGACTGTGTGCTCAGATCAGCCAAACTGATTGGTCTGTTTCATAATACAGATGGACAATGAGCCAAAACATAAAGCCAAAGCAACCCAAGAGTTTATTAAAGCAAAGAAGTGGAATATTCTTGAATGRCCAAGTCAGTCACCTGATCTCAACCCAATTGAGCATTTCACTTGTTAAAGAATAAACTTCAGACAGAAAGGCCCACAAACTAGCAGCAACTGAAAACCTCTGCAGTGAAGGCCTGGCAGAGCATTAAAAGGAGGAAACACAGCGTCAGTTGACGTCCATGAGTTCAAGACTTCAGGCAGTCATTGTCAATAAAGGGTTTTCAACCAAGTACTAGAAATGAACATTTTATTTACAATTCTTTCATTTGTGTCCTGATGCATCTCAGTAATCCAGGTAAAAAATCAAAAAGAAAAAAATTGTATAGGTCCTCTGGACGGGTTCTTCTCT